CGATGAGAGAAAAGCATGGGAGTGGTCTTCTACAACGACAGAAACAGATGGTGAACCAGGCATTCTCAGGCTTCCTTATAGTGATCCGATAGACGAAGAAGGAGGAGAACATGAGGTTGATCAAAACAGTGATCATCAAGACCATGATCCAGTATATCACAACGAGGAAGAAGAAGAGAACATCAATCACGATGATGAGGCTCAAGAAGAGGAACCGCAGCAAGTGGTAACAAGATACGGCCGTGCAATCAATAAGTCAAAGTATCTAGATGATTATGTGCTACTTGCAGATCTAGAAGGTGAGAGACTCTTACTCACCGTGGATGAAGAACCAGAGCACTATCTCAAGGCAATGAATCTGCGAGAATGGGTTGATGCAATGCAAGCAGAGATAGACTCCATCACACAAAACAAGACGTGGGAGCTCGTGGAAAAACCAATTGGCGTTAAACCAATAGGCTTAAAGTGGATCTACAAGATAAAGAGAAAAGCAGATGGCTCGGTGAACAAATACAAGGCGAGGCTTGTGGCAAAAGGCTATGTACAACAACAAGGAATAGATTTCGACGAAGTGTTTGCTCCCGTAGCTCGACTCAAAACTATAAGATTCCTTATAGCACTTGCAGCAACAAGAGGATGGGAAATTCACCACCTAGACGTCAAGACTGCTTTCTTAAATGGTGATCTAAATGAGCTAGTCTATGTAAGCCAACCCGAGGGCTTCATAAAGAAAGGAGAGGAAGATCGAGTATACAGATTACATAAGGCGTTGTATGGTCTAAGACAAGCTCCTAGAGCTTGGAATGTGAAGCTCGATCAGGTCCTAAAAGAGATGAAGTTCAGAAGATGTAAGAAAGAGCCGTCGGTGTATCTCAAGAACGACGACAAAGAATTCCTGATTGTGGCTATCTATGTTGATGATTTGTTTGTGACAGGAACATCTCGAAGAGTCATAGAAACAATTCAAGAAAGACATGTCACGAAGATTTGATATGTCGGACCTCGGAAAGCTTTCATATTACTTAGGCATCGAAGTGATACAAGGAGAAGATGGAATCAGAATAAAACAAGAAGGATATGCACATGGAATTCTCGTTGATACAAAGATGGAAGCATGTAACTTCACTCATGTACTAATGGAGCCGAGTTTAAAGATCTCAAAAGCAGAGAAGGAGCTTGAGATCAACGCCACAGAGTACAGAAGAACGATAGGATGTTTGAGGTATCTTCTTCATTCTAGACCAGACTTGGCGTTTGCTGTTGGTGTTCTAAGTCGCTATATGCAAAGTCCGAGAGAGTCTCATGGATAAGCGATCAAGCATATACTAAGGTACATAAAGGGAACAACCAACTTAGGATTATTCTTCAAGAGGGATGGAACAAGCAAGGTGATCAGTTACAGTGATAGTAGTCATAATATTGACGTTGATGATGGTAGAAGCACGTCGGGACATGTGTTCTACTTCGGATCTTCACCAATCACCTGTACATCGCAAAAGCAGCCCACTGTTGCTTTGTCCTCGTGCGAAGCGAAATTCATGGCAGCTACGGAAGCCGCGAAGCAAGCAATATGGCTCAAGGAATTGTTGAGGGAGATACTAAGAGAAGATGAGAAGATCACACTTAGGATCGACAACAAATCGGCTATAGCTTTAACCAAGAATCCGGTGTTCCATGGAAGAAGTAAGCACATTCTCTCTAAGTATCATTTTATAAGAGAGTGTGTGGAGAACGAACAGATTGAAGTCGAGCATGTTCCTGGAGTGGAGCAAAAGGCGGACATCCTCACCAAACCGTTAGCTCGGATCAAGTTCAAAGAGATGAGGAGTTTGATTGGAGTTCAAGCAATCAAGATTCCCGGAGTTCAAGTTGGAATTACGGGGGTGAATGTTGGATAATTCCATAACTTGGAGAACAAGTCTTCTTAGGAAAAGGAAGTTTCTAAGAAGATAAGAGAAAAGGAAAGAATCTACAAATAAGGAAAATCAAGTTGGATTAGATTTGTAAATTCTAATAGGATTAGGAAGTTGCCTATGCCTATATAATAAGTTCTATATGGAGAGTTGTTCCATAAGACTTGAAAGAGTGATTTAGTTTTTGAGAGAGTTTTCTAAATCAATAAAGAAAAGTTGTTCTTTAATCTTTTGAGTTCTTTCGATTTGAGAGATAACATCACGCTGGCGTCCAAAAACAGGGAGAAAAAAATAAACCAAATGCAAATTCAAAACATTTATTTTTAATCTTTTTTTTTAACAACAAACTTTGCAAAAGAATTGAGACAAGATGATCGATCCAAGCTGGTGGAGTTGAATCGTTATATGTCATCGCTGTAGGGTGGACTCGAGCACTCTGTGCCAATTTATCCGCCGTTTGATTTTGTGCACGTGGAATGAGCTTCAAACTGAATGTCTCGTAACAGCCTTTCCATTCTTCAAAGGCCTCCAGGTATTGTGAAAATGTGGGCCACTCTTTAGGATTAGAAATCATCTTCACCAGCTCAGAGCGGTCTGTCGCAAAAGTCACATGACATTGGAAGGTAGATACACATTCCATAGCCCAAAGTAAAGCCTCAAATTCTGCATGTAAGGCTGAAAAACTGTAGTCCAGATTTCGTGTTCCCAACAAACTTTCTGTTGTACCCTCCTTACTACAAAACCAACCATTTCTTGAAAAGGAGTTAAGATCCTTCCAGGCACCATTCACATAACACCACCAACCCTCTTTTTCCAAAGGTTCGTGTGGAGAAATTATAACTCGTCGATTAATTCTAGATCTATAAAAGATGAATAACTCTTTTGAGCAGTTTGCCACATCAACACTGCAGAAAATTATGTGTATCATTGCATTTTTCAGTTTCTGCTTCCTCAATTTTTGGTTACCTATTTACTTCAGCTTCTCGCCTACATTTAATCTTTAATCTAAATGTATGCACATTATATCCCACTCTAAGCAACAACTCCTTTTCAGTTGCAAGCCGGTGAAATTGAATGCATCGAGGGACTCTCTTACTCGGGCAGGGGATGAGTTATCAATAATCTCCTTCTGCTCCATGAGATTTTCGCCAGTGTAAATTAAGCTGGTAGCATCACCTTTCCTAAGGGACCATATATATATATGTTGCTTTGACAAGAAGGGAATTCTTATCTTCTAGAACCACTCCTTCCCTAACAGAAAACCACACTTGACATCATTTCAGGTTTGGATTCAAGTATTCTTCAGGTTTGCGTATGTTGGGTTTCTTTAAAACCAAAGTAACTGATGTAATGAAAAAAAAAATGAAAATATAAACAGAAAGAGCTAACCAAACATTCAAAACCAAACCAAACCGAATCCAAAACATCATACTATGTTAGCCATGGGTATGACTTCAGGTTTGGGTTAGTTTATTCGGGTTTTTGGTTTTTGGAATATTCGGGCTCGGGTTCGGATCGGATCAAGTAGGTTTATTCGAGTATTCATTTTTTTGGATTTAGACATATAGAAATCGATCGGCTTTTTTTATTTTCTCATCTGATTTGGGTTTAATATTTTGAGGCAGATTTAGGTTCGGGTTCGGGTTCGATTAAAAGTCTCAGACCTATCCCGATCTGTGATGGCATTTGATACCTGATAGAAAAGAACGAAAAAAAATCATTAGAAATCTATATGCATAGACGAAGAACCGATATGCAGTTAACTGGACAGACAAATGAATTATGAACCCCTTGTTGTTAAATCTGAATTACAAAGGCTACTGATTGGTCCTAGGAACAAATTAAAAGCCTAAAACTAGTCATGTGCTTCTCACGTTTTATGAATACGTATGTAGACAAGACATGTATAAGTTTAATTTCTCACTTCGTTAAACTTATTGCCGCCTTATCATCTTCCCTCCGCCGCTCTCCGCAGCAAGAATTAACATTTCCCAATTGCCAAAGGGTCACTGCAAGAATTCGTGTTCCAATAGCAAAAGAGTCATTTGCAAGAATGAAACGTTAAATGCGAAAGCCTAGACTGCTTCAGGACAATGTTGTTTTCTTGTTCCAATGTATGATCGGTGGACATGGCTTGTTGTTACAACTTACAAAGATCGAGAGTGTGAGAGATTTTCATATGTTCTAAACTTCAATCCGTGTTCGAATCAACATGTCAAAAGCTCGTATAGAATCTGAATGTTAATTTGTAGTCATAGACTGTAAATTCTTCTCCAATTCATACGGATGCATAGACAGAAACAAAACACAAGCAGGTGTAGCAACTTTGGGTAATTCATTTGTCAATAAGTGATGCTAAAATAATGCAAGTTGGGAAGTTTGACCCATTTAAATCAAATATGGCGAGCCAGATAGATACTTAAACGAAAACTGCCAAAACTTCAAGACTCATAAGTGACGATAAGTCCTCGATAAATCATAAATGCTATATATCCAAGTCTTACTTCCACCTCTCTATTCTATATAAATGCATACAAATGAGTCACACTGATCACCACTCATCAGTAAACTAAAAGGAAGTATTAAGATGACATCTTCTAAAGTCTCTTCCACTCTTCTCTTTCTCCTTCTTCTCGTTGTAGTGTTTCCCCATATGGATCAAGCCCTTGGTGAACAAATGCAGATCCCCAAACTCCTCAGTGAGTCTTGTAAACCTTTTTATAATCCAAAAAAAAAAAAAAACTTAGTGAGACTTTTTTTGGTCTTTACTTTAAATAAAGTCACCAACTTATTGGCATTTCACATAGATACACAGAGTTGAGAGAGCCCATTCTCTACTAGATGAACAAAACTCCCTCTTGTGGGCTATGCACTCTCTGTCTCCTTAGCGAGTCTGGAGCTTTATTCCTCCTGTTTCCACCTTCTAAATTTCTTCAATATTCTCCACTTTTGTGCTCCCCACCACCTCTTTTTCTTCAAATCTTCATCATCTCCCCTGTTTTTCCAGAAAACTCATACAGAAACTTCAACTTTCTACTTTCCTTCAACTCATTTGATCATCATTTCTCCCTGTTTTCCCTTTGCATGATGGCTAAAGACATCGATCTTGCTCTCCAGAAACTTTCCCTCCTCTCTGAAGAAGACGAGGAACCATATGAGATGCCAGACCTCCCTGAATTCAAATCCTGTGTTCGAAGTAAATTCAGTATTCTTGGCCGCGCTCTAAACCCCGACTGTCAAAGAATGTCAAGCCTCATACTTGACATGCCTCGAAAGTGGCAGAAGTATGATCGTGTTTGTGGCCTTGCTCTGTCTAATGATCGATTTCAGTTCATCTTTGATTATGAGAATGACTTGCTGGATATCCTCAACAAAGGTGCACAAACCTACAACGACTGGTCCTTGGTGATTGAACGCTGGGTTGAGCAGCCTCCGCCGGACTATCTTCAATTCCTTACCGTGTGAGTCCAACTTCGGAACGTACCAGTTAATTACTACACTACTCCAGCGCTCACTAAGCTTGGTGACTTCGCCGGAGAGGTGATTGAAGTAGCTTTTGATCCCAATAAACCTCACAATCGAGATTACGTTCGAGTTAAAGTAAAGGTTGATGTCTCGAAGCCTCTTCGTAGGTCAAAAATCATCAAGCTCCCAGATGGTACAACTGTCACCATTCTCTACAACTACGAACGAGTTCAAAAGCGTTGTTTTACTTGTCAACGACTCACCCACGCTCAAGACAAGTGTCCTATCTTCAAGAGTCTCAAGTCCTCTGCGCCTCAGAGTAAAACAGACGTTTCCTCTGCTTCCAAATCATCTCCACCATCTGTTCTCCAGCCTGGCGATCCTCTATTTGGTGTCCTGGACCAGTTGATTTCTCCTGCCAATCCATCCTATACTCGCATTGCTGAAGATGTTCTCCAAGAAATGCGTCTTTACTTAGCTTCTGCAAGTGATTCTGAGCGTCGCCTTTTTGAGGAACGACTTAAATCCACTGTTGCCTCCATTCAGATAAATCCGGTTGCAGAACGTTCCATTCTACAGAATCAAGCTCCACCAGCTACTACTAAAGACATAGACAAAGGCAAAGGAATCGTTTTTGGATACGAACACAAAGCTTCTCCTGCTCCTAAGCTAATGAATTCTGCTTTTCCAGCGATCAATCCTTTTGATCTTGACTTGTTACGTGTCCAACAAGCATCACTGAAAGAGGCTCAAATTATATTTAACTTTCAATCTCAGATGCCACCTCCTTCCCAGTTTGCACTTGACGCTGGTCCCTCTGGCTCTGCACCAAAGAGAGCTCCTCGACGCCGTATCTCTACCAGTACTAGTGTCTCTGCATCTGCTACAAGGATATCTACAACTTCGTCTAAGAAACGTAAGAGTGTTGACAAAGGAAAAGCTGATGATCATGGTGGTCGCTCCCTCAAGTCCAAAGTTTGCAGGAATGCTAATTCTCAGGTGGTCCCTACTGAAGGGCCACTGAACCAATGACGCGACTCATTAGCTGGAATTGCCAGGGTCTTGGTGGTCCGCAGAACCTGGTGATTCCCCGTCTCCGAGAATTTTGCTCTGCTTATTCTCCGGAGTTCCTCTTTCTTATGGAGACTAAAAAATGTAGGGATATTTTGGTTGATCTTAAAGTTTGGTTGGGGTTTGACAATGTAATCACGGTAGAACCTATCGGCTTAAGTGGCGGTTTGGCTTTTTTTCTGGAAAAAATCTGTTCAGCTGGATGTAAACTATGTTGATAAAAATATGATCGATGTTTTGGTGTATTCGGATAAGGGCTCTTGGTTTCTTTCTTGCATCTATGGAGATCCCATTGAACATACTAGACACATTTTGTGGGAACGTATTATGCGTATCAGTACCTCTATGCGTCAGCCTTGGAGTCTCATAGGGGATTTTAATGCAATCCTTCATAATGGTGAAAAGATTGGTGGCCCCTCTCGTAGTGACTCCTTTTTCAAGCCTTTTGTAGATATGATAACATCCGGTGGCTTTGAAGAACTTCCTAGTTCGGGTAATGCTTTCACTTGGTCAGGCATGCGGCATACTCACTGGATTCAATCGCGTCTTGACTGTTTTTTTTGTCAATAAGGCTTGGCTTAATTTCTACCCTCGAGCTAAGCAAGTGTTTCTGGATAAACGTGGCTCGGATCATCGGCCGGTTTTTGTTAATACTGATCCGGATGCTCCATTATCCCGCGGTCGCTTTAGGTTTGATAAAAAATATCTTCTTTATCCTTCCTTTCGCGAGACGGTGTCCTCTGCTTGGAACTCCTCTCAACTTCGGTCTTCCTCTTCAGTGTTCTCCTCTTTGTCTTATTGCCGTAAAGAGATTGGTAAACGGAAGCGTTCTGAATCACTGAACTCTAGATCCAATATCATCGCCTTACAACAACAACTGGAGGCGGAAGAATATTCTGCTTCTCCACGGTTGCTTAGAGTCCATGATCTTAAAAGACAGCTTATAGAAGCTTATAAGCTTGAGGAGCTTCATTGGTCTCAAAAAAGTAAAGATCAGTGGCTTTGCTTGGGGGATAATAATACGGAATACTTCCACAATGCTGTCAGAATGGATCGTTCAAGAAGCTATATTGAGACCCTTTGTGATGATAAAGGCATTGAAGCTCGTAGTGAAGAGGCTAAAGGAAACATTGCGGTTAAATATTATGAAAATCTCTTCGCTTCCACGTCCTGTGCCTCCTCTGGTTTTGATTTCTCAGCGTTTCCTAAGCGAGTCTCGGATGATATCAACTCTCAATTAATTAAACCTATTTCAGATGAAGAAATCAAAGCAGCGGTCTTCTCCATTAAAGGTTCAAGCGCCCCGGGTGCTGACGGAATGTCTTCTCATTTCTTTCAACAGTTCTGGACACTTGTGGGCTCTCAAGTTTCTTCTGAGATACATCGTTTCTTCCAGACTGGAGACTTGCCTCCTGAATGGAACTTTACTCAGATATGTCTCTTGCCAAAGACTACTAATCCACGGCTGATGACCCATCTTCGTCCAATCAGTCTTTGCTATGTAATGTACAAAGCAGTTTCAAAAATCCTCATGAAACGCTTACAACCCTTTATGGACTCATTGATCTCGCCTGCTCAGTCAGCCTTCATTGCTAATCGCCTGATCACGGACAACATTTTAATAGCTCATGAGCTTGTCCATAGCCTTCATACTCTCCCAACCATCTCACAATCTTACTTGATTATCAAGTCCGATATGTCGAAGGCTTTTGACAGAATTGAGTGGAGGTATATCGAATAGGTTTTACATGGTTTTGGCTTTCACCCTCAGTGGATCTCTTGGATTATGACCTGTATATCTACGGTGTCATACTCGGTGCTGCTCAATGGTTCTCCTCATGGTCTTCTCTTTCCACAGAAAGGAATTCGTCAAGGTGATCCCATCTCCCCATTTCTCTTTGCTCTATGTACGGAGGGTCTTTCATTCTTGATAGACAAGGCTGTGAATTCGGGTGAGTTATCAGGCATTCAATTCTCTTCTCATGGACCTGCTATATCCCACCTCTTATTTGCCGACGATAGTTTGTTTGTTTGCAAAGCCGATGTGGATCAGTGCCGCAAGCTTCAAGACATCTTGACCACATATTGCAATGCTACAGGCCAACGTATAAATCTTGATAAGTCTTACATCACTTTTGGCACTCGTGTCTCTACTTCTCTGAAAGACGAAATCAAGGACTTGTTTGGTATTACACAAGAGGGTGGTACTAATTCCTATCTTGGCCTACCGGAGAGTTTCATTTCTTCTAAGACGGAGCTGTTTTCTTACATCTCCAAAAAGCTCAAGTCCAGATTCTCGGGTTGGAATTCTAGGTATCTCTCCTTCGGTGGAAAGGAAGTTCTGCTTAAAGCTGTGGCAATGGCTCTGCCCCTTCATGCCATGTCCTGTTTCCGTTTGCCAAAGCAGACTTGTAAATCTCTCTCGACGGCTATGGCTGATTTCTGGTGGAGTTCTGGTGAGTCTCGTAAAAAGATTCATTGGAATAAACTCTGTTTGCCAAAAGACAAAGGTGGGCTTGGCTTTCGAGATTTGGAGTCCTTTAATCAAGCGTTGCTTGCAAAACAAGCTTGACGACTTCTTTCCAATCCTACTTGCTTGTTTGCCAAGCTCTACCAAAGCCGTTACTTTCCAGATGGAGATTTTCTCTCCTCTCCTCTTGGTTCTAAACCATCCTTCGCCTGGCGAAGTATCGTTTTTGGTCGGGATCTCCTTCGTCAAGGGTTAGCTCCACGTATTGGAAATGGGCGTTCTAAACTTGTTTGGATTGATTCATGGCTGTGGGATGGCGAGAGATGGAGCCCCCCCCCCCCCCCCCTTAATGAAGAATTGCCTTGTTAATGTTGATATGCGGGTTTCTCAACTCATTGATGCTACCAGACGTGATTGGAATCGTGATCTATTACAAGATCCTTTCTATCCAGATGATGTTGCTCGAATCTGCACAACAAAGCCCCTCGTGGATTGTAATGATTTCTGGACATGGACGCCTTCACGAAATGGCATCTTTACGGTTAAATCAGCCTATACTCTGGCATCTCAGTCTTTCTTAGCCTCATCCTTCCAAGAAGCTAACCAACTTCCCTCCATTAATCCTTTGAAATCAAAGATTTGGGACCTCAAAACTTCTCCCAAAATCAAGTCCTTTCTTTGGCGAGCCTTGAGTGATGCCCTTCATTCTAGAGGTGTCAAATGTGATTCTCGATGTCAAATATGCGGATCTGAAGGAGAATCTGTAAATCATATCTTGTTTGTCTGTCCATTGGCTCGTCAAATATGGGCTCTCTCCAACTTCCCTTCGCCTCCAAATGGTTTCCATGCTTCTTCCACTGCGGTAAACTTCAGTTATCTTCTTAACACTTACAAGAACTACTCCATTCCTCTGGACATTCGACGAGTTTTCCTGTGGATTCTTTGGATCCTATGGAAGAATCGAAACAAAATGGTTTTTGAAGGGCAAGTTTATGCCGCTCCATTGACAATCAAGAAGATTTTTGCAGACGCTGATCAGTGGTTTCTAGCTCAAAGGGTTAACTCCACCATAGAATCAGGAATTAATGGTGTATCAAGCTCTTCTTCACAATGTCCTCGTAAATGGAAGCGGCCTGAACCTCCCTGGTTAAAATGTAATATCGGCTTCTCTTGGTCCCCTGTCAAACGGCTTTCTGGTGCATCTTGGATTCTTCGTGACTCATCTGGAAAGGTACTTCTTCATAGTCGAAGAGCATTTAGTAATCTAAATTCTCTCCTTGAAGTTCAAGTACATTGTCTCTTGTGGGCAATAGATTGCATGAAGCATCATAAATGCATTAATGTTGTTTTTGCGATAAACTCGAAGAATGTCACAAGATTGGTCTCTCAGTCGCCTCTTTGGCCAAGTTTTAGACATATCAGTGATGATATCTTCTCGGCTCTTTCGGCTTTTCGACAATGGAAGGTAGTGTATGAGCCTTACCATGCCAATACTCCAGCCTCTTTGATCGCTTCAAGTGTTACAAGAGACAGAAGAAGGATGCAATCCTATGTTGCGACTGGAGCTCCTCGGTGGCTAAACTCAATTTTGCAGTCTGAGAGACCTTAGCCCTCTGTTTTTATCTTCTATGTTTTTTTTAAGACTTTGTCTAGCTTTCGGTATCTTAATGCTTTTTTTGTATTCTTCGGACGATTGAATGGTGTAACACCATTCCTATTAATCCAAAAGATGTTCAAAAAAAAAAAAAAATGTCATCGCTATATTACTTTATTAGCTTGGTCTATTTAGAAATGTTTAATCCGAAATTTTGAGTTTTTGTCAGTTTGAACCAAAAAAACGGAGTAACAAACCTAACATCGATTCGATACAATTTGGATTGCTTTTAGTTCAAAACTAATTAAATTATCGCAAGTTTTAAAACCTTACAAACCTTCACCACGATCCAATATTGTATTAAGTTGGGATTATCCGAATTGATAAGACAAATGACCACTTTACAAACCTTGACACTATAGTACATATGTGTAATTAATGTGTTTGGGTGGTTATGGTGCAGAAGAAACAGGCCATCTTGATCACCTGACGACAATCCATAGGCGCGTTCTTGGTGCTAATTTTCATGTACCTGCAGGGTGGAAGGGATTCTGCCTAAAACATTGCGATAAGGTCCGAGGTATTCCAGATCGTATACCTAAATCCCCACCCCCGTCTCGAAGGCTTTCCAAAGGCAAAAACAAATGATCCCACAATTTTCAGATGAAAATGTATTTTGACAATTTGTCACCATAAATGTAATATTCTGTTATTTTCGTGCAAAATAAAAGCAACTTGTATGCTGATGTGTTCGTTCGTTCTGGTTTTTTTAGTATGGTGAGACGCGTGTTGTTGTTACGATTTGATTTCATTTCAGATCTGAGTTTGTTGGTATTATATCTCTACAATATTATTATTTAAGAAGTCTATTTAACAAAATACTCAGAAAAAGACAAT